AGTTTTTTGTGAAAATATTGTTCCCATATATTTTTATTTCTGTTGCTTCGCTCGACTGGAATATCTTGAACGAGAGGATCCAGCATATTGATGTGAAGGCCACACGTTTTCTAAACAACAACAGCCATCTGAACTTCATGATAAAAGATCATATGGTAGAATCCTCCAGCAGATATCCCCCTGTTTTCAATTCTTCTTTGTCTTCTTTCTTTCCTCCGGTAAACAGAGGGACGATGAAAGGAACAACATGGGGGTGGAAAAATATGGTTTTCCTCCGCCCGCTGTAGGCTGCCAGCCTAACTGCTCAATTAAAAATCTAGGGGAAATATTTATTTTGTCCCTCAAAGTGCGAACTCTTCGAAAAACTACGATAAATTTTGATAAATGTATTATTAATGAGCTTTTTTATTCAAGCCAAAAAAATGAATTATAGGGGCGAGCGAGAAAAAATTAAACAGTCGGAAACTGTCGAAATTTTTTTTGTTGGAATTGCGTTTTGAACTATTCATTTTGCCCCACTCTCCCCTCCTTGAATTTGTTCAAATGAAATAGCCTGCACGCCTTTTCATTTGAGAATCTGGAGAAAATATTGATTTCGGCCCTCAAACCAGACACACTTGGGAAAAACAATGCAAAATATTGATAAATATAATTAACGACTTGTAAAAAGTGTAAAACTATACAGGGATAAATAAATCATTATCTATTATAACGACCATAATCGTTTGAGCGATCCAAAATAATGAATTATACTTGGAATCTCTGAAAGTGCCTGAAATTCCTGAGGAAATCGAAGATGTCCAAGTACTTTGGCTATTTTTTCTTCAGTGAAGTGCTTTTCCACTTTTGTAGTCTAACAACAGAGCTTGCATTTGAACCAAATTTGACTCTAAGTTTCACACTCGTGAAAATGCCGCCTCACTCGTATCGAAATATACTATTTTTCCGGCCAAGCGATGAACGATTTTCCATCACGGACGCGTAGCGTCGAATCTCTGACTACGACCGGAATGACAAAAAGGTAAATTTTGATATCATCAAACGGCATATCGAAAAACCAACAGAATAGATTCTACCATATCCATTCTCATCGGTTTTTGAAAATCAAGCATATCCACCTGGAATAATATGAGAAAATCCCCCAGTAGATATCCCCTGTTTTCCTCAATTCTTATTTGTCTTTCCTCTTTCCTCGAGTTAACTTATAAACAAAGAGAGGATGGGGGAGAAAAAATGAGAAGGGTAGAAAATTATGGTTTCCCTCCACGTGCTGTAGACCGCAGTCTTGCTCAACACTAAAGTTTTTCCTCATTTTGCACCTGAATTTCAAGCTTCATAATTCACATTTCCAAAAAGTTTCAAACAAAGAAATGGCCAAAGTAAGTAATTACTTCCTGAATTATTTCCAGACCCATTCCTCTTTTCTATTTTTATTTTTCATGAAAGGCTTAAGTTGAAACTCAAGCATATTGTGATGAAACTCACACGTTCCCTCAACAACAACAGTCATCTAAACTTCGTAATAAAAAATGATATGAGAAAATCTTCCAGCAGATATCCTGTTTTCCTCAATTCTCATTTGTCTTCCCTCTTTCCTTCAGTAAACAGTGGAAGGTTGAAGAAAAGAAACTGAGGGGTGAAGTAATACTGCTTCCTTCGAGGGCTGTAAACCAGCCTTACGCAACACGAGTTTTCCCTCAATCCTCAGTCGAACTTCAAATCTTATAATTCAAATTTCAAAAGGGATTGAAACAAAAAAAAAACTGCTAAAGCAGGCAATTATTTACGGACACCTTCTTTTTTCTATGAAAGTCTTGGGTTGAAACTCAAGCATATTGCGGTAAAACTCACACGTTCCCTCAACAACAACAATCATCTAAACTTCGTAATAAAAATGATATGAGAAAATTTTCCAGCAGATATCCCGTATTTTCTTCAATTCTTTTTTGTCTTTCCTTTTTCCTCTAGTAAACAGAGGAACGATGCCTTTCTCCACGTGCTATAAACCGCAGTCTTACTCAACACGAGAGTTTTTCCTCGATTTTCACCGGACCTTTGAATCTCAATTCAACTTTCGAAGGGGCTTTGAACAAGAAAACTGTTCGAGTAAGTAATTATTTTCGCCTATTTTTGTTTTATTGTTCACTTTTCTCCAATGGTAAAGATCAGTATACGTGAGGTAGGAAAAATTAATAAATTCGTGAATCACGAAACGAGCTAAATAACGAACGAATAATTGGTGGGCTTTTTGTCAACATTACATGGATTTTTATTTTTATACTTATGTGTTGAACTATATTGTTTTATATTCTTATACCTACCATACTATGATCTCTGTTAATTTCAAGAATCGGCCGAAGTGTCTACCAGATGTTGTAAGAGATCTATGACTTATTCAATAAACGCTAATTCTATTCAAAATAATTGTTTTCCAATCCCTTTTTTCTATAAAAATCTTGACTTGATACCCAGGCATATTGTGATAAAACCCACACGTTCCCTCAACAACAACAGTCATTTAAACTCCCTAACAAAAATGATATTAGAAAATTTTCCAGCAAATATCCCCTGTTTTTCTCAATTCTTATTTGTCTTCCCTCCTTCCTCCAGCAAACAGAGAAACGATAAAGAAAAGCAACTGAGGAGTGAAAAAATACTGCTTTTCTCCACGCGCTGTAGACCGTAGTCTTACTCAACACGGGAGTTTCTCCGCAATTTCCACCTGAACTTCGAACCTCATAAATCCTCGTGGTAGCAGTCTGCCGAATTGTTTTTTCGCCACATCCGTTTCTTCAACCGACCTTTCGCAGAGAGAGAGTTAATTCCGCGAATAATTCAAGCAATCATTACAGAAACGTCAGAGATTGGATTCGAAGTGGATTGATAATAGAAATGGGCGAATCGTGACGGTAAATTGAACGTGACTGAACGTAATAGTCGAATGATAAAGACAACGATGCGAAAGATAACGAAAAGTTCCATTCAACGCGGGGGAATTTGATTCCAAAGATATTTATCACTGAAATTGTGCAAGAGATGGTATTACAGATGACTGAGAATGAAGTCGATAAACCAATTCGAATGTGAAATATCTCATTTGCATCTGATTTAAGAATATCAACTTTACATTTTTTTACATTAAAGAATGACGACAACGTATCGAGAAATCCGCTTTGCTGTTATTTTTATCCCAGAAATTATTGCTAGGTATAGGTGAAGATAGGGGGGAAATGGAAAATCGCAGGATTCGGAATTGGATACACTAGTATTGAGAGGGCGATAGCCGCATGTAGCTGAGTCTTTCGAATCAATAAAGGGCCTGCGCCAAGGACGACTGGGATTGGTGGGTGGATACAACTCTGGGACTCGGAGCTGGAGTTTCTATGGGTCGTTCGTCAATTTCTCAAGTAAATGGAATTCTGCAGTTTGTAAATAAGCAGGAATTTCCGAGGGAATTAAGTTGAAATGACTTGGGGGAGAACTGAATTATTTTGAAATGTTAACGGAATTACCGGGAATACATTCACGACTCTAGTCGACGAGAGAGGTGAACTTTTTGAATCATAACAGCAGAAAAAGCTGTTTTAAAAACTCGAACAAATCCATCCAAAAGTACCAGGGGAAATTCCCATTATTTTATTACCCGAATGATGACCTAAAACTTTTTATTTCTATGGGAACACAAATGGGTATGGAAATAATGGGAATCCATCTCGTTTATTTTGAATAGGTTTCATAGCCCATTAAGGATATCCAAGTACTTTGGCCTTTTTGTTTTTGTTGAAATCCTTTCCAACATTTATAGTTGAACATCAGAGCTTTCATTGGAGCCCCAGGTACCCTAGGTTATTTAGGCTATTTTTCAACGATGTTATGATTCTCCATTTAGAATCTGAGAATCGTTAAATAATTGCAAAAAATTACAATTTTCGAAGATTCTAATTTTGTTTCGGTGAAAATTTATGAACAGTCTATTTTCTACACCTAAAAGCATTTGTTTTAATTGTAAAAAGTTTGTTCATGTTCAAAATTTCACGAGAAATTAATTCCATTAAAAAATATAAGGGTTTGAAGCCCAGGTGAAGCTTCATTTAACCCTGAATTAACAAGCATTTTAAAGTAATTTTACCGCTTAAACTATCTAAACTACTATTGTTGTCTAAATATGATTCTCCATTTTAAACCGTTCAAAATATTTTTTTAAACTGAAAGAAACCAAAAGTCCTTTTCAAGGAAAATCCATAAAATAATTTAAAAAAATTGCAATTACGACTCTAGTTCATAAATCATTTGTAAGCAATCCATTTCGAAATGATATCCAAAATTTTATTCAACCATGGAGAATGTTAGAAAAAGTAATTATTCGCCAATTTATGAACAGTCACTTTCTACACCTAAAAGCATTTTTTTAATTGTAAAAAAAATTGTTCATGTTCAAAATTTCACCAGAAATCAATTTCATTAGAAAAATATAAAGGTTTGACGCCCAGTTGAAGCCTAATTTTACCCCAAGTTATCAAGTATTACCACCATACAATTACCACTCTAGTTGATAAATAATTTATAAGCAATCTATTTCGAAAACTGTACATATCCAACATTTGATTCAAGTCAAGAGAATGCTTAAAAAGCAATTATCCGCAGAACGTAACTCTCTCCTGCAATTTAATCGAGAGATTCAGTGATTGAGAATCTTAACATCTACAGTATTAAAAAGGTTTCAACAATTCTCACATTCGCTATTTCACCGTGAAAGATAAGAATGAGACTGAAAAATAAAAAACTCAAGGAAAAACATTCCCATTTAATTAAACGGGAATACCTAATCGATTAAACTATAAGAGAGCACCCGATACCCCAGGATTTTCTTCAATCATCCATCCAGTACAAATTCCTCATTATCCCCGTCACTCTAATCAATATCTCAGATCGCCTATTTTTCCCAATCCATTCCCTCACATTCCCTCATGATATAATTTGAATTTAGATGATGGACTCACCTATCGAAGATTCTGGCTTCCTTGAGGACATTTCCAAGATTGATGTACGCATCCAGAAAATTGGGATCTAATGCAACGGCTTTCTCAAAATGATGAATAGCCAGCCATATTTCACCCTGTGCATTGAAGACACAACCGAGATTGCTCCAGGCAACAGCAAAGTCCGGGCGCGTCTCGATTGCCTTCAGGTAGCATGCCTAGAGTCAGATATTTAAAACATTAAACGAATTAACAAACATTGCTGCTCGCAATTCTGAAAAGTGGCGCGCGCCGCGCATATCCAGTTTTAATTTATACTTAAAATTGCCCGTCCTCTTCGCGCCGCGCCTGCAGCCATTGTGATATGTCAACATTAATCCATCATGAATTTATATCCACTAAAATATCAATTAGCAATCAGTAACATAACCCGAATTAGTACATTTACATTTCATTAATAATGAACACGTCACAATGTTTTGTGAAGCCAGGATTTGCTGGAGATCCTCCGAAAAATCAATCAATGATACTTTTTCTCATTCAATAGTTCTACCCTATTTCTCATCAATTTCGAAGAGTCAACGAGTATCGGTGGGAGCTAGAGTATTGTGGCCAGTGAACCCCTGGGGTGTGAAGTGATAAAGAAAATTCCCCACAATCCAACTTTCATTCGGAATCACAATTTTTTTCTTCTCTCTACTGTACTTTCCTCGGACTACGAGAACTTCCTTCATCATCCAGAATAGACAGAGAAAGACCGGCACAACTTTCGAAATAAGGTCGCTCGATCAAGATCCAGACATCATTATTTTCCGACATTAATATCAGACAACGGATGATGAGCAAACGATTTTTCACTCTCTCACTCCCCACGACACTCGTCTCCTCGTTTCATTCAATAAAAAGATATAGCAACTGCTCTTTGATGCATCAATTTTCATTTGTAATTCTGTAAAATGTTGGTTTTAGAGAATTAGAGGTATGGAGGACTCCGGGAGCATTGGGAATGGGATTGAGACGCGCTTGAGAGTGTCACTCGGATTATGAAAGTGGTGATGAGTCTCCGGAATGCGTCTGGTGGACTCAACACCACATTTACCAACATTAAATTGAATACCCCAAGAAACAGGCATTATCCAGTCGGCAATTCCACCAAAACCAGCCCCTAAAATCATTACGAACGAGTGAGACCCCCAAATAAGTGCAGTAGAATGGACAATCGCGCTTATCGAGGAACGGGCTAGCACCTTTAAACTTCTGTAAATAATCCGTACCTAAAAAAATAAATAAAAAAATAGGGAGATTGGGTAGAATGGCCGGTCTCAGGTGGGACTCAGTGACACATGGAACAATACAGGACAGGAATACATCTCCATCGAGTGAAAGAAAAAATAATACTCGTTACAATTACACTATATATAAAATTCAATTCAATGGTTACTTACCAAATAGTCAATTCAATAGTCATTGGTAATTAATTTTTCATGATATATTCAAGGAAACTGGTGATAACTGGACCACAAGGAGGGGGACAGGGAGACCGACCTCGGGATCTACATTACCTTCGTATTACCCATTCGGTAGGTTGACGTTTATGGGTAGCAATCACTCTCATACTAATACAATCGACAGTGACTTGTGTGTATCACTGATTAACCAGATTCAGATTGTTTTGCACCCTTTGACGAAGGAACCCAGTGGATACAGAACGTTTGCATTGCTCCATGCTCCCCTCCTAGAGTTGATCATTCAATCCACAACAATAAGACAGCTGCGTTAATGTCTCTTCACCAAAACTACCACCTCAATCTCAACCTCACAAATATCTTTTTTTCTTTAATTTATACTCAATTGTTTTATCAACTTCCTAATGATAAATTCTACACTCGTCAGCCACTGCTAGTCGTCTGTTCGTACAATAACTTCTTTTCCAACGATAAAACAAATAAATTTCACATGCATCGTAATGATCTTTCTCTGCCAATTGTTGTCATTGAGTGTGAAAAGTAATTGCGGCTGATCGAGTTGTTGATAAAAGAATATAAAAAAAAATAACAGAAATTGGGAAAACAATAAATGAGACACAACCGACGAGCCCTCGGGAATGGTGAATAATGTAGCAGAAAACGTCCCCTCAATTGTCAGCTTGCATATTTGAATAAAAGAGAGCTACCTCGTTCTGTGAAAACCTTTCGTTTTTATTTCAAATATTCATGTGTTTTGCTTCAATTCAATGAATTATTCTTATAGTTATGGTATTTGGGGTGAATTTATAGACGAACGTGGGAGCTCTGTTGAATTTTCGCCAGCGCCGCGCTGCAGCAGTATACTTGACCACTCTTGTGGAATAAAAGAAATTGGCTGGACTGCATAAAAATCAGAATAGCTGTTGTTAATAATTTCATTGGAATAGCGCACGTTGCATCAATACCCCTCAATGCAAAGTGAACTGATGCTGTCAAAACGAGTCCTCAATCAATATCATAAAAATCATTCTCAATATTCGAGGTCAAGTAAACTCGCGCTAAATAATGATGCCATGATAGCTACTGGATGATTAGTGTCAGCTGTACATGAAATAAAAGTGGAGAATTGTGGAAAGGAATAGAAAAACATGAGATGAACTTAACAACTAGTGTCGCTGCGCTGCTGATCCCATTTATCATAAATTCTGAATGAGATTGAAATGTATTTGCAACCCTCCAATGACATGAAAATGTGGAAATGGGATCAGCTATTGTTCTCAACACATGAGAGCACCATTTTCATCTTTGAGTAAGTATTGTGCCTCGATTAATGGTGATTTCACGTCGCGCCAAATTGCCAATAAAGTTTCACAATTAATGTTTGATGTCATTTTACGTCAACAGGGCCGCGAATTAAATCCACATGTCAGGTGGATACTTTAACGTTGTTTAAGTCATGTTCAATGACATCAGACATTGCTGAAAACAATTTTCAAAAGACAAAGAAGATACACAGTGTGTTGTCTGCAATCAAAAAAACGTCAATGCTGAAAGAATGTATTTTCTTCTATTTTTCGATAAAAAAACCCATTATTTTCGGTTGTGAATTTTGATGGCAGATGTTATGAATGTTATCCGCGCGCATTGCACACAAAAAAATTTGTCCCTTTTTTTGTGTCAACAAAATTCGCATTAGTGACCATGGAAAGGTGGCTTTCTGCATGAGCTTTTGATTACCAGTTTTATGAAAACTACTTTTGTCATCAAATTTCGCTCTAACACATTCCTCAAGAACTTACGCCAGCATAGACCACATGCACATTACGTATTAGTACTCAATTCCTACCGATTTTTAAAAACCCATAATTACATCTACACGAGGAATTTTCCACCCCACGACTGACCATTGCACGGAATTAACGAGTTCTTTTTGAGAGTACTAATTCATAATCAGCGTGACACGTGGGAATTCAATGTAATTTTTTGTTTACAGTGTTTAGACTTACCTTGGCTTCGTCAAGTCTCGCTAATGCTTTCAAAAGATTACCAAGATCACTCCGCACGCAATAAAGGTCCTGAAAAGAAAAGGTCGACATTGGTTCATCTTACAAATTGCATAGGGGGTTGCCATAAATGACGACATTGATTTGGAATTCGTATGTTTATAATATTATTTGAATCATATATGATTAGTTTTTCAAATTGATTAAGGGGTTTCATCTTCCAAATTGCTTAGGGAGTTTTTGCTTCGAACGGTAAATGCTGACATTGATTTGGAATTCGTATGTTCATAATATTATTTCAATCATATGTGACTAGTTTTTCAAATTGCTTAGGGGGTTTTAGCTTCGGACAGTAAATGACGACATTGATTTGGAATTCGCATGTTCATAATATTATTTGAATCATATATGATTAGTTTTTCAAATTACTTAGGGGTTTTATCTTCCAAATTGCTTCAGGAGTTTAACTTCGAACGATAAATGACGACATGGATTTGGAATTCACATGTTCATAATATTATTTGAATCATATATGATAAGTTTTTCAAATTGCTTAAGCGGTTTCATCTTCCAAATTACTTGAGGAGTTTGAGGTTCGAACAGTAAATGACGACATTGATTTGGAATTCGTATGTTTATAATATTATTTGCATCATACATCATTAGTTTTTTAATTCTTGTAGGTTTTGTTCTCAGGTAATTAATAATGGAAAGTTGCGCATGAAGCTGCTGCACCGAGAGAAAAAAATGAATTCCCAGGTGTGAAATATTCTTGCCAAATATTTTTCTTTATGAATAGGGAAAAATTAAGCAAATCGGAAGATTCTACAGACAAAAATGATTAATTTTTAAAATAACTCGTTCGACTTTAGTTCAATCGATAATCATAACGGTATATAATCCTTCATTACAGCAAATTTCGTCGAATTGTATCGCACTTCAATGAGTTATTTTGTCCGGATTTATTCCAATCTTCAAAATCTTTACGCCATAGAATCAAGTAAAAAATTGTGCCAAGAATTTTTTTATTTCTAGGGATCTGTTTTTTCCTTCCATGTATGTTATCCGCGCAGATGATAATGCAGTTTGGTGCTCTGCTAGACTCACCATGAGAGGCCAAATCCCTTTGTTATTAACCAGGGATGCGAAATGATATGACGTTTTGAAATCTGTCAATTTCGGCCAGACTTTTCCCGACTATTTCAACCAACTAGCCACATGTAAACTAACATTTGGGAATTTGTATTTTCAATTGCTGACTTCAATTTGAATACACTGATTGTATGATTTGATAATCCACTCAACGTCTTGTCATCATGAAACTATGGGGCTATCTTCGGATCCGAAAGCTATATTACCTCTAGTTAAATGTAATGTGACGGTCAGATAGTTAATTGGTCATAATGTTGTCATATGACAAGAATTTGTGATGTCCCGGCCCGTCTACGATCACTGGCGTCGCATAGGGTAAACGCACCAAATTTTAATCATCAACTATTTTTAGATTTCAATTATTATCCTATTTTCAAATTTCGACGAGCATATTTAAAACTTTATCAATGTAAGTCGAAAATTCTTTTAATATTGAAGAATTGTAATATTAATGGCCATCCCTGCGTGGATATCCTTGAGTTATTACAGAATTTTGTTCTTTAATCACTGGTATTTGACGACTACATAAATGATTCATAAACTAGCGATCTTCCACTGAAATTCTGAATATAAAATTTTTTTTATTGATTGATTTAAAAAAAATCGCAGTGTGGGTCGCCGTATTTCAGCGTGTTTATCAGACCTCAAGTTGACGTTTTCGAAAATCAATCATTGTATTCTTCCTTGAAAGGATTACTAACCGGATTGTATTGCAGAGCAGTGACATATGCCTGTACTGCTTGCTCCATGTCCCCGGCTGCCACCAGGGCAGCAGCTAGATTGATGTATCCATCGATAAAGTCTGGCTTTAGCCTGACAGCGTGTCGATAATTCTCGAGGGCATCCTGAAGCTGTCCACGTTCTTTGTACACGTTGCCGAGGTTGCTGTATGCCTCGGCCAGCAGGGGATTCTGTTTTATAGCGAGACTGCTGTAATGGGCTGACCTGTGGAACAATGCACCATAAAAGGGATTTAAAGTCGAGTTCAACAGTCATTTCATTTTTTACGTGCACAGAAAGTTTCTTTATGTCAATACACTGAGAGAAAAAATATGTAACAAGTTTAAAAATTGTTTGAATCAACAAAATTTTTCTGTTTATTTCTGATGATTACCAAGATGAAGTGCTCTATTTTAACGTATGGAATTTTCAAGCATGAATAATAAGATAATTAAATAAATTATTGATTTTATCACTTCGAACATCTGCATTTATCTTACGACAATAAATTTATCTAATAAAAAATCGAATTATTTTGATTTTGGAAATACTTTCTTCATATTTCACTCAAGGAATTTCAATCAACAAAATTTTTAGTTTTTTTTCTGATAATTACCAAGACATAAATTGTTCCATTTTAATGTGCAGAATTTCCAAGCATGCATAATGAGATAATTCAATGAATTATTGATTTTACCACTTTGAACATATGCATTTATCTTACGACAATAAGTTTACCTAATAAAACAATCCAATTATTTTAATTTTGGTAATACTTTGTTCATATTTCACTCAAGATTTGGAAGGCACATAATGGAGATGTAGATATTCTGGCTGCGCTTCGAACAATGAAACATTTGGCTCGATAAGCTAAACATTCGTGGGGAGAGCCTGCCATTTCAGAATGAGAATATAGCTCAATCTTTGTACAAGTTACCTCGTAAACAATACAAAACTATTGTCTTGAGTTATCTAATACTGATTGTGAGAATCGTCTGTATCTCTCGTAAAGTGAAGTTGAATGAAGAATATTTCGCTGAAGTTGCAGGATTGCTATCACCTCGGAATAGTTATTCTATTCAAAACTTAATTTGTATTTTACGACTTGTGTTCGTGCGCCTTCAATGAAAAGATAAAGCTTAAATATAATCGACTACGTTTTAACATTCATTTACTTTCTCATTTGCAATAAATTTTCTAGCATCGAACAAACGTTTTTCGATTTCTTGCTTTCACTAAAAATAGCAATTTTTTGGAACAACCATATCTATTTTTGCGACAGGAAATTCTTCATCTTGGGAGACTCTCAAGATGTTCTGTACGAAATGTTTGAGACTTGGTAATCATAAACATGTAAATTTTTCAGTGGAAGTGAGACTTGTTTGGGGATTTTTTTCTCATATCAGTGTACGTTCGGAGTTTTCTCGGTTTAATTAAAGAACTCACTTTTCAAGCCTGCGACACTGGAAATGAATTGATGACAGCAGGAGTAATACCCCAGTGTTGTTAGTCTCCTGTCTCCATAATTGCATGCAGTGTCTCTCGGCATTTTCATAGTCACCTGCCTGGTACTCCCTGTGGGCCAATTCCAAGAGCCCTGGTAGAAAAAATATCGGAAAAAAGGTGAATGAAAATGACTATTCTACAAAAAATCAATTAATCAACTTAAACTATTTACATTTCTTCAAAATTCTGCAGTATCTATTTTTCCTCAATGAAAATTTGATGAAAGTGATTGTTTTTACAATTTAAGCCGGTGAAATTCGCAATTCGAAAAGTGTCACTAATAATAGCTCGAGAGTTTCGAAAATTATTGGGTATTTCCTGATAAGTTCGTTACAAACAAAGGAATGAGTCAGGTTTTTTCGACAAACGTGCCGAGTCCGTTGATGTCCAGGGAAATACATGGAGCTGAAACTAGCAGAATATTCGTCAGCGGAAAATTCACTTTAGGGGATATTAAAGTGCAGGAGAGTCAAATAATCATATGTACAATGTTTTTTAAGTGCGAAAGAGTTTGTACATTACTTAGAAACATTTGTAGAGCCCTAGATTCGCCTAAACAAATCTTTTGCTGTCGAATCTGTCACTAGTTTCAGCTTCATGGGTAATACCCAAACAATTTTGAAATTCGATAGGTATTCGTGAATAGTACATTACATGCCCGAGCCTTGGAAAACAGATCACAAAACCAGAGCCGAAGGCGAGGATGGCAAGCACGTGGGGGAAGGTGATGTGTTTTCCATGGCGAGGTGTGTATATTAATTTTCATGTCCCGTGACACGAAAATAATTTTTCCCATCCAAATTAAAGCCGATATAATTCCCTCATTCGATGTTATTTTGTATAGCCTACGCGGTACTCAACTGATAATTTTTGATAATTGAACTGATAATTGTTCGTGTTCCTCAGATAACAAACAAAAAGTCGTATGCATGAGATTCAAATTTTCCATCTCTCAACTGTCAATTTCGTCTCATGATGCATTTCCCTTCGTCGAAACTTGTACGGGAAAATTACCCCCTGAATACCACGAGAGCTTCAACGTTAATCGAGTATTTCCCTGGAGGTTCCCTGCATACAAACGAACTAGTCAAGCTCTCCAGAATAGTACATTATGTCATCAGGTGACAATAGTAGATTGCTAACCTAGGGAGATAAATTCAGTAGTGAAGTGGTAAACCGGTATAAGTCGATTTTGACTATTGCCCAGTTTTTAATGAATATCTCAAGAAATACACGGGTGTATAAAAATGCAACTGCGTGAAGCACACAGTAGTATAAAACTTCAACTGCGTGAAACACACAGGTGTATAAAAATACAACTGCGTGAAACACACAGTAGCCTTAAAACCTATTCCAGTCGATTCCTGAGGAAATTTGGGTTCCGTATAGGCAGATGGACGGCTCAGAATTG